AAACATTAAAAATCTTTTATAAAGATTTTTTACAGGTTACAATGATTTTTATTTTTAAGGTTTTTTAAGTATTTTTTACAGTTTATAAAGGATTTTTAAAGTTTTTTAAAAAAATTTATAAGAATTTTTTACAGTTTATAAAAGATTTTTAAGGTGAAAAGCTTCATACTCTTGAAATCTCATGATCTTATCCTACTTAAAATTTCTGTTTTTTTCCTCAAAAGCTTTCATTGTTTGGCCATTTTGGACTTGATGGATGCATCTTTTCCACATGAATTTGTATATAAAATGAATGGTTCGAATATATACATGTGAGTCAATAATACAATTGCCAATAACTAGGCCAAAAAAAAAAAAGGTACAAATAACCTCTGCTCGATGATTGTTACATCTGAGGTTTCTCTTTGAGCTAATACTGAAGGATTCGGAGCAGAGGCCGGGATCTGAGATTGACCCGATGAAAATGATTGAACCTAAGAGGAAGGAGGGTACTCGGTTTGCGGTTTCATATTGGCATTGGCTTGAACTGTTTGAGCAGTCACTTGAGCTAGAGCTTGCTGATGCGTCATTCCATACGAACCCTGCACATTGTTACATTTCAGGTTAGAACAAGAACCAAGAAAACAAATTCGAGCACACATCGGAAGTGGTAAACAGATTCCGAGTCAAGACAAAGGAAAAGCATAGAAACGCAACCGGCTAGCTACCCGAGTCTGAAAACTAAATCATCCTATAACAAGAGAGGGATCCCTAGAAGAGAATCAAAGCAAAGGCCTGTCTAAAGGAACCATTTCGACGAATGGAAACATATTGTTCGAGTATTTGATCATAGAACATGTTATTCGGATATGACACCAAGAAATCTTCCTTAGGATTTATATAGAAAAAAAAACCTTGAGCAAGCCCAAATCTTGATGAGTATTTGATCCACAAGTTCCTTTTGTTCTCTCTTGATGATCTTCTTTGTCTGAAAGTTTCTACCTTTTCAATACAGTTGAGTTGCAAAGTTCTCCAAATCTCTCTAATAAGCAACCAATTCAATTCTAATGTGATTTTCTCCAAAATTTTGACCTAAGATGATGAAGAATTGAATGTTTTTCTTTCTCCTATTTCCCAACAAAATGGTTACAAAATCTATAATTTGTTGGAATTTACTTAAGATTTGCTAAGAACAAAAACGTTTAATTTCCCTAAGCAAGCCAACGGAACAAAAACAAGAAAACAGCTCAACAAAAGAAAGCTATAAACTTTCAGTTTTCATAAATAGAATTTCGAAACTTG